AATTGACAAACCCGATACAAAGCGCCCATTCCTTCAGTCCTCAGAATCTCAGTGAATGCATGCCGCATATTTCGGTAGACATTATTCTGGCGCTGAAGTTGCAAACGACTCTTCACCACAGACCTAAAAAACAGCATGGACCGAGCATGAGCTGTCTTTGCTTAGCCACATATGAAAATCCTCAACTCACATAGGATAAAGAAAACATCGTATGGACCAAGAACTAGCAAGGGCTAACGGGTAAAATCGCCATAAATTCAGATGTTCCCATTGGATTACAAGCAACTTCTCCTAAAAATAATGGAGTGAATTTATCTGACTCCTCAACATCATAGCAACTTACATTAGAGGTCAAATCGAACGCTTCTGATGTGTCGGATGACATCGCTTGATACGCTGCTCCTATCCGTGCCAAGAAGAACCAGGATAGAAAACAAATTTTAGCAAGAGAGGCCGCTTTTGCTGAAGCATTGGCAGCGAAGTCACGCTGCTACTAAGTAGAGCCGTTTTATTATTGAATGGAAGAGGTTTGCATTGATAAACGTCTAAATAATGTAGATGCATTCTCCACAGTAAGTCTGATAATCTGATAAATTACAAACGGATAAGAAATTTCTTCAAAAAAAAAGAGCCAGAGAAAGGGAGAGCAAGATATATAATGCAGCAAATGGAGCAACAGCAGACATTTCACTATTTCGAGAAGAGATCCAGACTTTCAATATAAAATTAGCTGAAGATCATCAAGATAAGTTCACATATAAGATATATAAGGCGACAGAACACTCATTCCAAAGATACTTCATCTTACCCTACACTAAAAACTGGTTTAATAAAAACAAATCATGCTACCAAGCTGCTGGAAATATTCGTAGTTGAACTAGCACAATATAAACGCGAATTTTAAGCATTTATAAAGTCAGAGGCAGTACGCAAAACGCCATAATAGAACCGTGATTTTTGTGATAATCCGCCTCATCGAATTGCAATACTCAAAAGCGCAAAGTGCAAAAAAAA